TAGGAAATTACATATCTCTGGACCAACTACCAATTCCATACAAATTCGGTATGTAATATATAATTCGGCGGTCTAAGCCCCCAGGTTCCGAAAATGTGGATCCCAGTGCCTATGGCTGACTTTGTACCGAAAATAACGGTCAATGTGTGATATATAAATGAAATGCGAAAAGAACGGTTTCCTGAATATAATATGTCTGTATGTCAAATATGAGTTAAATCGACTCAATGTTTACCTTATCACTCATAAGCCTAATATAAAGATTTTCGAAAATCGTGCTAATAACGGTGCATCGTTGTGCCTAAAATGGATAATATCGGATGAAAACTCACCCTAGCGCCCATATAACTAATATCAGGGTTCTCAAACATCCGGTTGGCTTTATACCTCACATATTAGTCTACTTCAGAAGCATTCTTTTCTGGTAATGATATGTCGTAAGGCCAAATGTGGATAAAATCTGGTCAATAGTTAAAGTTCCCCTATCTCCCATATAAGATTTTTAAAATTATATTAATGGTGTTAAATATGAATAGAGTTGGTCCAGATCTTGGTCTAAACTTTCTATACATAATAAAATTAATTCCGATCCTCTAGTTGGCGTTTTCCACATCAATTCAATATATTACATTTAAGTTCTTTGCTTGAATTAATATCACATCTGTATATCTTATTTGAAGATGATTTTAATATAATTTTAGATGACGCGAAGTAAAATATATCAATAAAATTAAACGAGTCTACGAAGTTGAAGTCATAGTGAGCGGACGTGGTTATTTTGCTCCGTAATTCAAGCTGTACTCTGTGTTAATGCCGTGCGCTTGTGTTCTGAGAGTGGATCGTGCTCAACTTAAAAGTAATTGCCACAAATGCAACGAGTATTTTCATATGCCCTGTGTCAATTTATCACAGACTGATGTAGATTTTTTTGCCTAAATCTAATAAGTCTTTTATTGCAAAGTTTGTTCTGTAGTTTAAAGAAGTTCAAGACGTTCGCCGCCTGCGTCGCCAACAGTGCACAATGTGTAGCCTCAAAGTACTTCTACTGTAAACTTTCATCAATTTGCATGACAGTGGCAAATCCTCTGCAGCAATATCGAATGCTTTTTCTTCCGCATCATCTCCTGCCAGCTCCAATCTCACTACTACCGCTGTTGCTGGTTATAACGTGATTATGGGTTACCTCACTCCCGCTGCTTTACCTGCAGCCGCTACCAACGCTAACGCTTGGCTAAATTTCCAAGACATATACTGAGGCTGTTGTTAGGAAGCTCAGAGCTCACTCGCATTCCAGTGCCAGAACAATCCAATTGTTGCTGCTAAGCCTGATCGTATCATAAATGCTGTTTTTGCTGCGCAATCTGCTGTCTTTGATTATACCGTAGGTGATTCTGTTAATCCGAGCTCCTCAACTTCTATTAATGCTAATGATGCTTTGAAATCAACACTGAGCACTATTAACAAAAAATCTCAGGCTGCTTCAACTGTTGTTGGTTTAAATGTCAATTGTGATTTCGATGTGGTCATATCCATGAAATGGATTCATTTGTCTACCTCTAAGTAACTCTCTTATCCTTCGTTGTCAAACATTCTAATGTTTATAGGCAACATGTTTTATGCTATAAACTTATTAAAAAAGATACTAACATTGATAATCTTAAGTGAGAAACGTTTAAGCTAGGTGTGCCTCTCTTTTTTAGTGCCGTTTTTTTCTTCTTCAGTATGGTCTTTTGGCATCAAGATGCGCCCTTTTAAGTTTATTTCAAACAGAGGGGGAAATAGAGCTGCGGACTGGTTGATGCCCCTGTTTTATTATGCTATAATTTTCTATTAGTCTACTTTTACGCTAAGAGTATATGAGAGGGTCCGACGAGACGTAGACGGTATTCAGGAATTTTCCCTTAACCATAAGAACCAAATCATCAGCATAGGCTGTCACCCGACAGCCTTGCGTCTCCAGCCATAACACTACAACATGCAAAGCAGGGTCGACCGACCTGCCTTTGATAAAGGCATGCTGTGCCCGTAACAGTTTACCTCTCGGTATTCTGCTCCTAATGTACAGATCCATAAGCCTCTCCAATGTTTTCAACAGAAACGAGGATAGGCTGATGGGTCTGAAACCTTTTGCACCGACGTGAGAGCTTTTGCCGGCCTTCGGAATAAAAGCAACCTTAACCTGTCTCCAGACCTTCGGGACATGGCCCAATCTAACACAGTTCGCGTAGCTGGGGCCAGCCAGCTGCATGACATCTTAACCGCACGCTGTAGTTGCACTGGAATAATGCCATCGGGCCCCGGGGACTTAATGGGTTTGAAGGATTTCAACGCCCAGGTAAGGTGACGATCGTCCAGAAGGTCCAAGAAGGCTGTACAGCCTTCCTGCAGCTTCCCCAGTGGCACTTCTTCAGCAGACTGATTTAGTGGAAAATGAGCATCCAGGAGTAGTTTCAACAACTCCTCGCTACTCGTTGTCCAACTACTATCTGNATTTTTTAGATACCCCACTGGAGTAAGATTTTTTGCAAGAATGCGCCTGAACCGTGAGGACTCATGACAGCCCTCTACACTACCGCAGAAGGCTCTCCACGAAGCCCAGTCGTCACTAGAGTCACTTTTACGTGCTTTGTTGAAAAGTCCTCTGCTCGAAGATCTATCCATCAAGGGGTTTCCTTTTATTTTTCTGGTTTCTCACAGAATAGGAGCTTTCAAGATAGTTCTACTAAAAGAGCTGAAAGTCTCGACGAGATCATCAATCGCGTCCGCAGATATGATCGAGTCCCTGTCAAGCGCGGTTGAAAGAGCTGAACGAAGCTTCCTTCAATACAGGAGCCAATTGGTATTCCTGAAATTTTTAATGGTTTTTTGCTTCGGGCGCGTGGCGTCCAAGCTGAACACAATATATTTATAATCGAAAAAGGAATGGTCATCCAGAAGTCTCCATCCCGAGATCAAGGGAGCAATTTCTCTAGAGGCTAGCGTGATTTAAAGGACTTCCGCCCTGCTAGCTGTCATTAGGTAAAAGAAAAAGTTCAGTTCGTTTCTGACCAGCAGACAGGCTCTGCTTCTACCTGGAGCTTTTGCCTTTTTATCCTTAGTCCAGATATTCCATAGCTGCTCAGCCACGGTTCCTGGATAAGGACAACGTCGGCTTCGTCCCTTCCTAGACGAAGCAAAAGATAGGCGGAGGCCGCCTTTGAGTGCTGGAGGTTAATTTAAAGGATCTTCATTCTCCAAACTCCTCTCCAGCAGTGCGAGTTCCGCACTATCATCCGTGCCATCGATCCCAGCCTCCTCGAACAAGCGTCAGAGACTGAAGACAGATCCATCATCGCCTGACGATCCGCCCCCCGTGCTCCCCGCGTCTGCGAGAGAGGTATCTTTCCCGCTCTCTTTCACCGCAGCGTGAGGTAGCGGGCCATCCACTCTGGCCTATTTTGGGAGTATCCTGAGAACGATTATCAGCGCTTGCCGATATGGCACCTCGGTCTTCTCCAGTCTAATCACCTTCCAGTCTTGGGTGGGAAGAGATGGATTGCAGTACTGCAACATCTCTTCAATTTCGGTCGAAGTAGAAGGTTCGGGAAATCCGATTTGGCCACCGCCTCGAGCTTTGCTCCTTTCCACACCGCCGCTACTGCCTCCTTATAAAGAAGTTTAAAGTTTGTGCATGCCGAGGTTCCACCCGGCACTTTCCCATCTAAGGGGTGGTCCAGGGCTTCCCCTGACCACCTTCATGAAGACAGCGGAGATAACAGCCGCTACCCACTGAGCTTGCGAGTTTAGCGATTTCGCTAAACATCGGTGCGGCTCCGACTCGATCCTTTTTGCCGAGAGAGGATGCCCCTTCCTGCGACCTCTGCCGCTTTTTCAAGGTGTGGGGCTCGGTCGGCCAAACTTTCCCGTTGCGCACGTCGCTCAGCCAAGGTTGTCTCAGTTACGAGGCCAAGGCGAGGGTTGACTCACACCCATATGAGGCAGTGTGTTCAGAGCCGATCAGCGCAAAAAAAGAGTCATCTCATCAAACACCTACCACACTAACTTAATAATGACGGGATAATATAATAATTAATAAAATTTCTATTTTACAATTTACAACTTTTTTTACAATTATTTTGTAGCGCGATTTTTCTATTATCGCAGTTCGGTTTTATTGTATCGTTATTGAAATTTCTTATTAATATTGTATCATCGTTTATGTCTTGTATTGTTGTTTTGTCATTGCATATAAATTCACAAGTATTTGAAAATATACATCTTTTACTCAATATAAAATTTTTAAATGCTTAATTTTTTTCATAACCAAAATAGCTTTCGCCAATCTTGTTAACGAATTTTTTTTTTCACTAATCTCTAATTTATTTTTATATGGCAATGGAGTAATTAATTGAATATAAGTTTGAAGGAAGGTCCTTGGTATCTGAATTGCGAATATTATTCTTTAATTTTTGTATACTACAACTCCTAATTTTGCTAATTTTAATCTATAAAAATCAATTTCATATTTTCCAATTTCTTCCTTAGTTAACATACTTGGATGTACCATATTGTATTTAGCTGCCGCAATATTGTCTTGTATTTCTTGAACTTTATTTTCTGTGAACTTTAGTTTATTTATTTGGTCATTAAACAAAAACTTTCTTTCAATTCTATTTTGTTTATTTTGTTAAGAGTTTCTATTGTTTGTTTCCTATCTAATTCTATAGTTTGGTATCTATTAATTTAATGATCTATTGAAATGTTCATTAATTATTGTACTATGTGTTTATTTAAGTTTATAATAGCATTATGGCCATTTTCTTCAATAATTTTCAAATGGTTCACAATATCTTGCCTGCCCTCATTATCCATAACTCCAAACATCCATTTCTAGGCTGTTCCCACGATATTTATTAAGCTACTTTTCTATCTTTCTTTGATATACGGTGTTATAGATGTAATCTTTGCTTTTGTATGTTTTATTTCATTTTACAAAATTTCTTTATTTTCAATATTTAGCTGTCCGATATTTTCTTTAATCTGTTCAACTATTTCTGTAATTTTGTTCGGATTTATAATGTATAACTGTACTTATTTCATTAACTATTTCTGTGTCATCCTTTTGTATCATTATATACCCCGCTTCTTTTATTATTGCTGTGATTTGCAAAAGTGTAAGTAAGTAAAAAAAATAATTATCCCCGCCATCTGTAAAACATAAAAATTAAAATTTATTACCGTTTAGGTTCCGATTAATTGTCTCTATATGTAAAAGTTTCCGATATTTTATTATTTATTACTCCGTTGGATTTTAGTCGCCTCTTACGACAGGCATCACTTACCATGGGTATATTCTTGGAAAACCTGGTACCCACTGGGGTAGAACAAAAATCATGTAATACAAACTTTTTATTATTTTTTTTATGTTATTATCACCATTAAATGCTTTAAACTAAATGCATCAACATCTTTCTCGTTTGGGTTTTCTATATTTGCCAATTTCCTTGGTATTTTTATATATGCCGGGTGAACATTTTGCAGTGGATTAATTCGGTAATATGGTTGATCTTTATGCCGTACTATTTTGTAGTTTTTAATCGGCCAAGTTTCTGTGTTTTCTATGTGTTCTTCTGTGGAAATGGAATATGTTTATATGAACTATCTCATTTTTATTGGTTGGAGTTTCAGTTAGATGAAATTTTTGTCGTTTATTATCAATTGTATTTCTGCCTTGAATTTCGGATAATATAATTTATCTTTTAATGCATTATAGGTTTCATTTATACCACTATGCATAGATTACTTTTTATGGTACAGTGATATTTGTTTATGTAATTTCTCTTCTTTTCTATTTCTGACGCTCTTTTTGTGCATTTTACAAATTTTAAACTGAGTAATTTCTGTAGTTCATGATAATTAGCTTCAGACACTTCTGAAAATATTCTCACTATTCCGCTTCCTTTTATACATTTTTTTAATGTTTCCTTGTTCTCTTTTTCTTCATCCATTAGGTTTATTTCAATTATTTTTCTTCCATAGAGTCTTTGCATCTGAGCTTTTGGGCTATGTGTCAATATAATTTAAATTTTGTATTTATTTAGAAAGTCTTCTTTAGTTGAGAAGTGTTCAGGCAGTTCCTCATCTGTTTAATTAATTGTTTCTGACAATTCCAGGTTTGATTCATTGTCGTTACCTTCTTTTATTATTGGTGAGGTTTCAATTCGACTTAAGAAATCAGCTACAACATTATTTTTTCCATTTACGTATTCTATTTCAATAGTTTTCTCAAGAGATTTTTCCATTACGCTTATCGTTGAGCCTGAGTCGATCAAAGCATAAAATAGTTTGTAAAAAACACTTCGTTCATATTTGATTCTTGTGGATCACCTCTTCTACTCATTGTGCCCACGTCCCTGGGCTCTGGTTCCCTTCTTTGTAAATGTTGTCTATTATTTACCGAGCTTCTTTGCTGACTCGAGTAATTAGAATGGTTTTGATTTGAATAGTTTCGACGACTTTATACCGATGGCTGTCTTGTTTGATTGGATTGTTGTCCATAATAAATTTATTTGACATTGAACAGATTGTGGACGAAACTGCTGCCCAGAGAAATTTTGGTTTTGTGGACGATATTGTCCTGAAAAGCTTTGATATTGTTGTAGACAAAACAGTATTTCTTTGTTGATCTTTGTTGTGAAAATTTTTATTGTTAACACCATTATTTTTGGTATTAACTTGAAAATTCTTTCCCTCTATTTTAAGATGAGGACTTAGATTATCTTCATCGAATCCAATAAATTTATACATTTCTTTGGTCATTTCTGTCAATTATGTCATCGATTCCACTGTGTATGCAAATGTCCCTGATGCTAATTATTGCTGAATTAGCATCCCTTAAAAAATTTTTCTCATAGTGTCACCGTTTTCGCTTAATGCTCTATATTCTGTTATACCATCTACGATTTCGTTTACTCTTTTACTTAATTCCGTTATACTATTTAATCTTTTACTTAATTCCAATATAAAATACACCAATTTTTAAGTCATAGGTCACCCTAAAAACTATTTCTTCTTGTCCTACATAGTCCCTTCGTACTCTGTCAATAGCCTAAATGAAGGATGGCAATTTTTTTACATTCCCTTCGAAAGGAGCTAGATATTTTAAGTTTTTTTCGGCCCTTTGCCTAATTGTCAATTGATTTTCGCTGCATTTTGAGTACTTATATGCATTAAAGATATTACTAAGCAACGAGTTAGCAGTTCTATTTGCTCTGCCATTATTTTCCTCACTGGGTCTTTTTACTTTACCCTCAAAATCATGCAACAATTGTTTTTTTTTTTTTAGGTTTGTATTACTAACCACAACATATAAAATAATTGTTTTTCGGAAAAATGGTTTTGTATGATGAATCTGATGTTCACTACTTTTAGCGTATATGTATTTTTATATTTTATTGTACTTAAGTTTACTTACTTAAAAGTTTAATATTTATTTTTGTATTATTGGCTGTGCAAGCCTATTTTATTTATGTGTTAGTATGTTTGTCGGTACCTTGCTCTTATTGTTGCTGCTGCTGTTGCTTTCTGCTACTGCTGCTGTTGTTATTATTGTTGGCCTTACTGCTACTGTTGCTTGCTGCTACTACTGTTTATTATAAAACTCTTCTCTTGCAGTTATTTCGACAGGCCTACGATTTTCAGCAGGAAAATCTCAGGAATCACACTGGTTTCTTTGTTTGGTTTTTTTTTGTATATTATATGGTAGTTCAGTTGATTTTGTGCAGATTAAAGTTGTGTGATTTCTAGCGCATTTCACACACCTTGGTAGCTTAAAGCAATAGTTTGCACTGCGCTACAAGATTCGATTACTTGATTGGCTAGAGTTTGACTACAGTATTTAAAATGTGTTTAATTTCATTGATCTTTTCCGTACATTCGAAGCAAAAAATAAACATATTTAAGACATTTGTTTATCTATACTGAAGCTTGCTTATGCTTTCAGGTTCACGATTGCGTGTCCTCGCGCGAGTACTACTAAATTTTCGATTCATTTCATTTTCTTGTGAGAATTCTCTAGTCAGAACTGTCTAACAGGTTTATTTTACAAGACCAGTATGCTTGAGTGTACATGAATTTTTGACTTCTGCATTTATCAATGAGCGCGTCGAGAGTTAGTTGAAACTTTCAAATGTTATAATTGGCGGAGGGCGATAGCCCACATGTATTGCTCTTTTTTCTTGAGCTTATCCTCAGGACTTGGAGATATCTTTGACACATTTGACGTGCCCTACTCTACCCTGGTTAGTGTGTCCATTCCGCACTGCCAATCGGTACAGAAAAATGCGTAGCTGTGCTTTTTAGCGCCGTAGGGTAAGGCTGTCGACAGCAGTTACCCACGTAAAACACACCGGAAGTTGACCATAGATGTAGACAATGTAGGGATCCTGTCGAAAAACAGCTCTGCGCAGTCAGCTGGCTTACCGTGTGACAGAAATAACTGATGTGCGCTACAGGCGGCGGAGGAAATGTTTAGCGAGAAAATTAATCAATTAATTTAGTGTTTATTTTGTTTTGTTATTGTTTTAAACTTTTTTGAATTACGTGATTTTTTTTCTGTGATTAATAACAATTAATGCTGCTAGTCTCAAGAAATCGATGTACAACGTGGTGACTACAATGTTGTAGTCTTCCGGCAAATCCGCCCACGAATTTCCACAGAATGTAAAATAGACGTTATTTGATGAAAGCACCGCCCAAGCAAAAGTCATCTTAGTTGATAGCTGTAAAAATGAAATACAATTGTTTAAGCTATGCTCTGCATTACTGCAATGTATACAATTTGACATCGCGTTAACGAATGAATTTGCACTTTTCTTCCTGGGAAGCTTAGAATCTTGCTGAACAAGTTTCTAAATACTGACAGTGCCGATTCAACTACTTGTAGCAAACGTTCCACGATGGGAAGTAGTCAAAGTCTTGCTTTTGATTGTATGTCAATTTTGAATAAGAATTAATTTTAGTTAGGACGATATGAATGAGCATTGAATTCATTATGTCGCTTTCAGAGTTCAACGAAAGTAAGAAACCTCGCAACGCTGTAACAGTGCCTTTAATACAAGATGCGTTCCAAAGTAAACAGTAAAAAAGTAACAAAGTTAACTCTAGTGGTGCCATTTATATGTCGACTAGTGCGTTAGAATTTGCTATCCTTTATCGACTTCCAGTAAAAATTTCATGACATTTCATCTATTGGAAGTGAAGTTATTGCGATTTAAATTAAGTAAAATTGGTAAAACTTTCACGTTTCAATTGATGAACCAAGTTTATGGCGATGATTGCCTATCCCGTAGCAGAGTGCACGAGTGGTTTCAACGTTTTCAAAGCGGTCGTGAGGACATAAATGAGGACGAGCCGACCAAAAAATCGCGCCTGGAGAAGTCAAAAGTGAAGACAATGATGCTTTGTTTTTATGATTCCAAGGGAATTGTCCACAAAGAATTTGTTCCAACCGGCCAAAACGTTAATGCGGTATTCTACCTTGGAGTTTTGAAGCGTTTGGTGTGCCGTATTCGACGTGTTCGGCCCGAATATCGCGAAGATGGAATTTGACAATTATTTGACCAAAAATCACATTTTAACAATCAACCACGCCCCGTATTCACCTGATATGACACCGCGCGACTTCTACCTTTTCGGAAAAATGCATTTGCCGATGAAAGGAAAGCGTTATGCAGACGTGGATGCCATTCAAAAGGCTTGCACCGGCATACTGGCGGCCATACCAGGCAACGAGCTAAAACACTCGTTCGACATTCTTCTGGACCGTGCAAAAAGCTGTATTAAAGCAGAAGGAGACTACTTGGAATAAAATTAATTGATTTTGCCGATAAAACCATTTGTTCTGTTTTTTTTTTAAAGTCCTGACGGTTGGTATTGCAGATGGGCGTAATCGGGCCACTGCCACGCCCACAAAACAATAAATTGTCATAACTAAGCTCCGCAATAAGATACAAGACTGTTGTTTGGTACACAGGATCACATTAGGGAGGGACATCTGCAGTTAAGTGGTCGTGGTCCCGCCCCTAATAGGTTTAATGTGCATATCTCCTAAACTACTAAAGCTATAATAACAAAATTCACTGCAAGCAAACGTTTTTAGCACCTCTACCTACGGTGTGAAATCGGGTGACAACCCCGCCCACTCAACATGTAACGGTACTGTTAAAAACTACTAAAAGCGCGATAAATCAAGCACTAAACACGCCGGAGACATTAAATTTTATCTTAGGGATGGTATGGATGACTTTATAGGAACCGCGTTCAAAATTAGACAGTGAACCGCATATCTTGGGATCTTTTTAACCGATTTCAATCAAATTTGGTATATATCTATGTTATGGTGCGAAAATGGGCGAAATCGGATTACAACCACGCCTAGTTTCCATATGACAAAATTTTAAATTCCACTTGATTCTTTCACTTTCCAACATGCCAATCAAGCAACAATGATTATATCGGCGTAAAACTTTACGTGAATAATACGTTTAAAGTATGCCACCTTGTGACCAAAAATTCTCTAAATCGAACCAAAACTGTTCAAGCCCCTAGGTACTGAATATGTGGACCCAAGTACCTATAGTTGACTTTTTACCGTATACCTATATCGGCCATTGTGTAAGATATATAATTGAAATTCATATAATAGAATAAATAAATGAAACTATCGATAATAGTATGCATTTGTTTAAAAAATGGCTTGAATCGGATCAATAGTTCTTGTAGCCCTCATATATCTAATATAAATATTTTTGAACTTCCGCGTGACTGTATCATATGAGAGTTATCTCAATGAAAATGAGAGGCGTGTTTACTTACAAGATCAAATCGGTGAAAATTTTCCTTAGACCCCATGTAACTAATATCAGGATTTTCGAACATTCGTCTGACTTTACTCCATTTGATTGGTGATGGTATGTGAGTACCTTAATGAAACAGTGGGAGCATTTTATTAGTCTGTGGCATGTTAGTAGTAGGTATTGGAAAAAATTAATAAAATCGGGTTAATACTGCCCTCAAATTCCATAACTACTTATAATGCTTTTCGTATTCTAACCATTTTTATGCCGAATTTCAGTCAGTGAGTATTATATTTTTTTTTATCTATAAAATGCTTCAAAATATGTTCTCGAGATAGCTAGCAATGTCAAAAATAATATATTTCTCTATCCCCAATTATATATGATTTCCGTCTTTCCACCTGACTTTACACGTCCGGTTGATCAACGTGATATTTTAACGAAATTAAGTGTAAAGATTTCTTAAAATTATGTGGTTTGACGCTGAATTGAATGAAATTAGTATATACTAAGTCTAACCTCACACCTTCATATAATGAATTCGATTCTCTGGTTGACGTTTGCGAGCTAAAGCTTAAATAAAATTTAGCCACTTGGTGGAGTTAATTATCACATTCATACTTACCTATGTATACTCTCACTTCAAGCAATAAACTGACTCTAAGTTTATAACCTTTTATATAAGTAAAGAAGTACCAAATTAAATTGTAATTAATCACGATATCATTTAATAATGGATGTTTAATTCAACATTTTTAATATACGGTTTAGAGGAA